TTTGAATTTCAAATACAATTTGGACAGTCTCCTGGATTAACAAACGTTCAAATGCCTCTCGAAACCGGTTTTCGCCACGGCCAGGCAGATCGTGCACAATCGGTTTTGTTATTAATTAATTTAAACTTAAAACTGCCAATTACAAAGGACGAGAACGTATGCTATAAGTAATAAATCATAATCGAATCGTGTTCGATTCGCAAAACTAATTTTGCCTTATCGAAAAAGAATCCTGTTCTATAGTCCCAGAAATCTTGCTAATAAAATAAATTTATCGTGAATAGTCCGTTTCTGAGTGCTCAGAGCGTCCGACTTACATTTGTCAAGCCAGCGGTTTTGGGTTCGAATCCCGGCATAGGCCATGATTTTTTAATTGAATTATATGGTAAAATAATTGGAAACTGGTTCTGACCCCTCGCCAGTAACACTTAACTAACCATCCAAGGGTAGTTGGACGTCCTGTATGATAGGAATTATGCTAATTTACTTAGCTTTTTGGACTGTTTACTTCTTGCTCACATGAATATAATTATGGCACATTTAATATCTTCGTTTCTTTGTAGGCCTAGCTAACTACCTCTGATTCTATATTTTACTCCTCGAATTGTAACACATATACCTAACCAATTTGCTTCAATTTGCCGGGAAGCATTCTTCTTAATAATACTGTAATCTTGACTAAATTCCTAGATACAAATTTAAATGCCTAACCATTCAGGGAGTTTACGTAATTCAAATTATTTTTAAAAAATATGTAACATTCAAATCAGCTTAGGCCAGGAGCAGTCCATCCTGCACCACTCTCCTTCTAAATCCTTCGCAGAAGTACCTAGAGTTCTGTCAATTTTTTTCTAAATTTCAAAGGTACGGTAATACAACATTCAGAATTGCAAGAATGCCAAAGAAAATTTGCTGTCTGATTAAAAGATCCGAAGAATGATCCTGAGAGAATAGACGGACCTACTAATGTGATAATGTATCAGTTTAACTAATCTCTCTCTCTCCCTCTCCCTCTCTCTCTCCCTCGCTCTCCCTCCCTCTTTCCCTTCCTTCCTTTTTTCTTTCGCATCTTTCTTTCTTTCTTCTCTATCACTTAATCTATTTACTTGTTGGTGCTTATCCTAGGTTTGTCACAGTTTTTTCTGACATATCATTTTTTTATTTACTATCTTACCCTGTCTTTATTTTCCCCCCTATCGCTCGATGTCTCGCACAGATGTCATTTCCTTTTATATAATACATTACTCTGACGTTCTTCTTCATACCCTTTACCATTCATCTATTTTCTCTCACTTACACTCTCTCTCTCCCTCTCTCTCACTCACTCGCTCTCTTCTGTTCTCCCACTCCTCGTCACTGGAATAAACGAAAAAGTTTTGGGATGAAAGATTACGTTAAATTAGACCAAATTATTTCACTAAAAATTAAACATTATTCATTAATTCTCACCGCACTTTTGTTGTAATATTCCAATAATCCGTCCCGGAGGACCCAATTTTTTGGGCAAGGAATCGACGATAAAAAGGAGCCAGATCCTTTAATTTCAATTCTATTAGTAAATATTATTTGTTATACGGTAGAATAGATCCAACTACTTCAAAAATAATATTGAAATCATCATGGAAAATTACCAGAAGAATCCGGTAATGGAAACGGACGTGACAAACGAGTCTGGTACCGCCTTAAGAGGCCAGGCCAGATGTCAGGTATAATTAATCCGTTTTGACCGTTTAACGTTGTGACCCGGAGGAAAAGCGTGGAAAAGGACAAATTGCGACACGGTCCGCACGACCATTCTCATAAATGGAAAGATCTAAGATTTATCAGCGTTCCATTGGTGCCAACCTTGGCGCTGTGCACTGTGACGATCCACGAAGCGATCTCGACAACAGTCATGATCGAGTTAGCGCAATTTACGTTGCCGAAGCAATTATTCATTTAGCCGGCTTAACATTAATGTTCGATAGGCAATAAATTTTAGCTCGACTAACCCAATCGAAGCGAATAGTCTAATTTGGTACAGATTTAACTTTTACTTTAATTGAAGTTCAAATTGAAGGGGTTTGCGAAAGCGAAAAAACCTACAAATCACATTTTGATGAGCTAATTCTTTGAACGCCTCGCAATGTCCACCTTTTACGGGCCGATACAATAAGTTACTTTAAACTCGGTTTAGTACTGAACCGAGTTCAATTTAAAAAATTCCGTTTTGCATTTTAAATCATCTCTGACCAAGTTAAGACTAAATTTTGCGATTTTTAAGTATCAAATTTGTTTGAGTGGTTCAGCTAGAATCATAGCATGGAATCATCATCACAACTCGAGCTTATGTGGTCAGGGTGTTTAACATTTCCCAGGACAACTGTACGAAGGGTCTTCGCGCTACCAAGATACGGAGGTTACTCATGAAGGCAGGTCACATCTCAGAAAGATTTTCGTTGTTTCGAATGTACTCCGTAATCAGCATTCTACCAATGTTGAGATCAAGCAACGACTTTAACAAGTTAGAAATGCTAATGCCAGTTTACGCACTTAAAGCGAAGACTTTCAGAAGCCGGATAACGCGCGAAAAGACCTGCCACTGGTCCAGAACTTCTGACAAGGCGTAGAACAGCTCTGTTAAGTTTCGCAAGAAATCACGTAGCAAGGATTGGACTACATTCTTGTTTTCGGATGGGTCAAGGTTTTGTTTTAAGATCTGACGACCGAGAGAGGGTTTGGAGTAAAACATATCCGTGCAACAGTTTTACCTCGGAGAAGCTATGGAGGTGGTGGTGCTATGGTTTGGGCAGGCATTTCTATGGAAGTTCGTACAAACTTGATCTTCATAGATGGATCCTTCACGGCTGCCCAATATATTGAAGTTGTTGCCACTAATTGGCGACGGTTTTATTTTTATGCGTGACAATTGGAAGGCTCCACACTGCTAGGATCGTTGGTGACTACGCGGAACGGACATCAATTCAATGTTTGGACGGGATACTTAAAGCATTAGATTATATTCTCAATAGTGAACACGAAATAGCCAATGTTGCAAATCTCTCAGCTTCTAGAAGTGCATTGCAATCCATACAAAATTTCCGCTTCTCGAAAATCTCAAATCATCTCCTGATTCACATAATTGAACGTCTAAGCCAATTGGAAAAATGAAGAACTTTTTAGGTTTACTTTATCTGGGTTAAAAGGTACTCCGGAATTCGGCATAATGGAACTGTTGATAGATTGGCAAAAGAGGCACTACACCGAGAAACCATCGAAAATACCCGACGCCAAGAGATATTTTCAGTCGGAAATCCTTTTTGAACGGTATCTACACTGGATCAACCCGGCAGCAAAATTCTACCATTCTATCAACCCCCGTTTAAACAAAAATCCATGGTATAAAGGCGGTAATTTACCAAAAGAGACTGCCCTACTATTTTTCGGATCCGAACTAATCTCGACATATGTGGTATAATCCTAAAAAATCGCCCAATGACAGACTGACCTCTGCGAAACTTGTAATGTGGTTGATGACCTGGAACGCGTCATAATGATCGGTTCCAGTTTTGCAAATGAACGAGGGAATTTATTTAATGCATTATATCAAATGCAGTCGATTGAAAAACCGTTTAATTATAAAATGTTATTATACTCACAAAATATTGAAATTTATAAAGCAATCTTAAGTTTCATTTATAAATGTAATATATTAATTTAACCGGAAAGACGTATATATTACATTCTCACAGTATAATAGTTTATTATGTTAAGCGTCTTTTGTATGTCTCCACTGACATCCTTATCTACCTGCATAGACGACCTGGTGTGTTCGGGTTGGGGTCAGTAAGGATATGGAGGATACGAGGATACGAAAGAGCAGTTGACTAATAGCGAAAGCTAAGGTCAAAAGAAAAAAATGTTTGAACTGGCCAGCATCTATTCCCGACTTAATCCCTATCGAACACATTTGGGACGAGTTGTCAAAGAGGGTAAAAAGTTGCCCAGTGATCCCAGAGAATTTGCAGGAATTAAGAATTCTGAAAATATTCAGCTGAACTACATTGAAAACCTCATAAAATCGATGTAATCAACGCAAAAAGAGCGAAAACTCCGTACTGAATTAAATATTTCCATAGCAACATTCAGTGTATTGTTATTCAGATTTCGTGAGATGCGGTCGGGTATTCAGTGTATTTTTTTTCCTCAATGCCTTTTTCTGTTGCATATTTTTTTATACTCATCAAGTCGCGAGGTTCAGTAGAACGGGCACTTCTCTGAAGTTGGTACAAAGTATGAACGAGGTTCCAGTGAACCCAGTTTAAACCATCATTGGTACAATGGCCCTTAATATAAACAATGGTCTGTGTGCGGATTCTTATCAACGCTCTTTCATAGCACCACTTTTTTAAGCGTTTCGTCATTACGTGGCCCCATCTTTGGTTATCGTTGCTGAAAAATCGCGTATAATTGATAAACCTGATTTATAATTTTGTTTCAGACAAGGCTATGAGAATATATCTCAACACAAAAGAGTTATCAATTTAAGAAGCCCCCCGGCGATATTACAAGTATCCGCGTATTATTCGCTCAGAAAGATTCGTTGTATTTAAATTTTATAAAGTGAATTATGGCCGCCAATTATGTTTCTGGCTTAATCATGTTGAAAGGTATAATACAAAGTAAAAACAAACACGATTTGCCAAGATTAACCGAAGGACGTCCGCCTTCTTCCGTTTTCCTCTTTCCAGCGAGATTTATCGTACGCGAGCATCCTTGTCGTGGCTGTACTTGCTGCGCTCGCAGAAGGTTAGATATGTAACCGCGTTGAACCTAATTAGCTGATTTGCAATGTAAATACCTGCCATATGGCACGTCCTACCCAGGCGAGCGTTTATTACACCTGGGCACGTCTGCGGACCACACACGTTTTACGGCGTGTGAATCTTGACTTAAGGATGCGTTGTAATGGCCGACCGGGGCTTTAAGGACTCCACACTGACGTTTATGATGTGTTTCAGGTGCTGCGGCGAGAAGGAGGATGGGGCAGGAAGGAAAGCAAGAGGACCTGCCATGACAGGAGGAACGGCCAAAACGTCCTCCCAGTACATCATCAACACCTCGCCCCCGGTAAAATAACTTTTATATATATTGTAATAAATTACATTTGCGTGAAAATTGATGGGACAAGGATTTTTATATAGCTAGCTAAGGGCTATTGCCTCCTCATATTTTGTCTGTCTCCCTTTTTTAGCCCATATCTTTAACGTTTAGTCCTTCCGATCATCGATTTAATCATATCGATTAAAATCAATAAAAATACCCGTTCATGCTATTAAAGAATAACCTACAGTACGTTTGGGAGGACTCAATTCGTCTCGATGTACTGCTAAGATGGGCCAGTTTGGCATGGCTGCCGGGTGTTTTTCACCTTGACGTCCTTCTTTCATTCACGCCAATAAAAAAATTGATTACAGTGTCCTAGTTAAACTAATAGTTTTGACAGGCCTGAGCGTTAGTCGATATTCCACCAATGACCTGTCCATACATATTTAACCAATTACGCTACTACATACATTCTCTCACACATGGTTTTTAGTATTACGTCAGTGACTACCCTCATGACACTACAAATATATAAAAAACTAAATAACCTATACTATTTTGGTGTCTCTGTGCCTCGATGTTAACACACCAAAATATGAAAAACCGTTCACGCTAATATATACATTCCCTCAAAGTAAGAATATTTTTTTAGCCAACGTATGAAAGGACTCCCTATATGCGGTATATAAGTATATTATATCATTTTTGCTGAAAGCTTGTTCTACATTAAAACAATCGATAGTTATTTTTTGACATGTTCTACAGTAACAGTCTTTACTAATAGTTTACTGTTAGTCAAACCTCGCAGGTCTGATTGCCTGTCCTATGATCTTATAAATTTCTGTATTTTTATTGTCAAAATGGTAAGCTTACATGCCATAATTTTTGCCCAACTTTGCATAGGCGATCTTGCTTAAATAACTATGAACTTTAAATTTTGAATATATGGTCTCTTCATGAAGTAGACATTTAGGTTTCAACAACTTTTCGGCGATTTATATCCTTATGAAGAAACCTCAAAATTTAATGTGATTACTGTAGGTCGATATAAACTCCAACTTTAATCAGTACCTCATAAATGAATGTCTTGTCTATATGGGGAATATTGGGCTTTCTTTTATTGAAACCTTTGGTTCTTTGGTTGGCCCTTGTAAGGACTTGGGAGTCGACGTTGGCGATGCAGGAACCAGTCTCGTATCTTTCAGATCTTCAGAAGTGCGAGTCGGCCGGAATGCAATAAGACATGGTGCCCTATTGTAAGACATGAAACAATAAAGGACTAAAACCAATCACAAGGTCGTCCCGGAGACAATATCCACGACAATTAACCAGCTACCGATATCCTTGGCAGTGGAACAAAGGAGGACTTACCCTGGAACCGAGAATATTCCACTTTCCGCTTCTTCCCAAATATATTCCAATATTATTCTGAAAATCTTTTTTTAAAAATATGATCAATTCAACTCGCTAACTTTTCAATATTCCTCCAGAAAGGCTTGGGGCCATCAAGTTCTTTTTTGCCTGTATCATACTTTGATTTTGCTTTTGGCACATTGTAACTAAAATAGGAGGTCCCAAGCTAGGTAATTTTGGAATATAGATATAATGTGAACTGAAATATGTTTTTGGTTAAGTCTTTCCTCTGATACTTTTATATTTCCTACACCAAACTGTGATATATGATTTCTCAGGAACTGTACAAGACCTTTGGATGGTTGGATGTCAATGCGATAAAACATGACTGGAAAATCGCTGGATCAATAGAAACACATCAAAATTTTTAAAAGTTAAGAAAGACATAGGTACATAACCTGTCTACTGAGTCTAGCAGGGAATAGGTCACTCCAGGTTGTGTATATGTCACACCAGGATCACACATGGACCTAAGTGGGGTGGTGCCGCGCTCATTGCGTAGGTAAAATGTCACTATAGAGCATATAATAATAAATTTTAAAGATTTGAGTAGCTAAAGAAAGATTTTCGCACATCAGCGGGATCAAATGGCCGAATATCTCTGGAAATCTCAGGAATGTCTAAAAATTATTTAGTCCTATTTTTAACTGTACTTAGAGCTTTGTGGTTTATATTTGTCTATATGTTACATATTGGAGGGAATGTATTCATTAGCAAGAATGTAGTGGCCAGATCTCTCGATCCCCTAGGATCTAGAAGTGTTCTGGGGCAGTTTTAATAAAGTCTGGAGTGGCAATATAATTTCTTAGCGTGAATGAAAGGACTTCTTCCATAATCACCCATATTGGCGAGAATTTATTTGTCTGTATTTATTTTCTTGAATGAAAATGGAATAGTGAGTGATTTGGAGCAAAGTAAACTAAGACCGGTTTGTGTGAATCTAATTTACTAGCGTGAATGGATTGGCTCTTTCCCTAATCACCCTGTGGACTATCGAGTGCTGTGTGACATTACGAATGATATGTAGTGTGTAAATGTAATTTATTAGCGTGATTGAAAGGGCAACTTCCTCAATCACTCCGAAGAGTATTTATTAGCGAGAATGGAGGAGCCCAGCCCAACCCCTCCATCCTCAAGGAATATCGACTACACTTACAAAAATAAATGAAATATGTGTTGTATATCAGTGTTTTAACATTAATTGAAAATTGAATATCGAGTACTATGAAGCAATATAATTGAAGTCTAGTGTACGTATGTAATTTATTAGCGTGAATTTGGCTCCTTTTCCAATGACCTCGAGGAATATCGCTTGATTTTAAAACTGACGAAGCCCTGAGGAAGAGACATGCTGCCAACAGGGTACAGAAACGAGAGAATCGGTTAGCTTAAAACCCAAAGCCTAATTTGAGGTTAATATAACTTGCCTACTGTGTCATAAAAATTAATTAGGAAGAATAAAATGCGAAAAAGAAAAGACAAGAGGAGGAAAGAAGTAGGGTGACTATATTGATGTTTTTCTTGAACAAAATATATGAAAAAAAAGTGTAAATAATGTAATGGATGAAAAATTGGAAGGGTAAATCACGTTACATCATGGACAGTTTTTATGACCTCATTCAATAAAATACTGTTGAACATTTAATAATTTTTGTTTCAAATTTATTAATATATAAAATTATAGTACTACATAAAACAGTCGTACCCGTACCCAACGCTAAAATAAACTTGCCATGAAGGATATTGTAGGAATACCGTTCGAAAATTAGGAATGCTATAAAATTTATCATTTAGGCAACAACCGTGACCCATTACTGGCAGATTTGCGTTTTAAAATTTCGCTTCTCACGAGGAAGGTTTTGAAATGTGGGTTATCTTATTGGGCGATTAGCAAAATGGGATTTCTCGATTTTTATTTAATCTCTCTTAAGATTCTTCGATGTCCATTCACTCTCATCGTAACCCTCCTAGGGCTCTTTCCCACGCGTCCGTCAGACTCAGACGCGAAATACGACTTAACTGTCAGTGTTACTAATTAAAGCTGTGTCGTGAGTTATATTTGAAAAATGCGTAGCCGATTATTTTCATTATTGCCGTACCAGTCGGTAATAAAGTGTTGTGATTTTACACTTCTCGGAGCGTTTTCTAATTTCCTAAAAGTTGAAAGTAGGTACAGAAGAAAATAAGGTGTATTTATTTAAAAAAAGGTAATTTATATGCTTATCTAGTTTTTATAAATTTAATATTCATTATAAGATTTTAATTGTATAATCTTTTTGCTAATGGTTACGACCATGGTGATGAGACATTTATTCGAATCATACGTACGTAGTAGGGCGGTTCAAATTTTTGCATATTTGACGAATATTACATAAATTTACATATTTGAAGAATATTTGAAATTTGATTTTTTATATTACTTATATTTGAACTGATGTTGTATTGGATCTTCCTGAGGTCAAGAAGATCCAATACATCAGTTTAAACTACGTAGGTCGATCAACGTCAACTAGAATTACTTACATTTATTAATTTTTATCTCAACCAGTACCTTACATAAAGATTAATTAATTGAAAAACGTTATTCGGCCAGTCGGGCCACGAACTCTAATGAACTTAATAAGAAAAACGAAGTATAATTTTCACGAAAGCTCTCCTTTGCCATTTCATTTATCGCCGAGAATTTAATAGGTTACACTACATTTGAAAAATGGCAAAAAGAAGCGAAAATTCGAAAGGGTGGGTTGAGTTGGTGTCCGAGTGGATCGAAGTCAAGGTAGTTCAATTGGTAGAGCAGGTGCGTATTTAGCTGAGGGTCGTGGGTTCGAATCCCGCTCGTGGCATTGACTTTTTTTATCTCAACCAGTATCTTACATAAAGATTAATTAATTGAAGAACGTTATTCGGTCAATCGGACCATGAAATTAATGAATTCATGATACGAATAAAAATGGTATTATTTATTAGCGTGAAAGTAAGGGGTTATTTTACACCGCTCCAAGGAATAGCGAGTACTCTGGGGGAGTAAATGTCAACTGACTTCTATATTTGTATCGGGTGTCATACGTTGATTCATTGGAATGAATGGAATTTATTAGCGTGAAAGGCAGGGGTTTGTTATACCAGGGCCCCATTACTGCGTTATAATGATATAATATATTCCATGACTTCTCACTCGGAGTCATTCTACTTGGTATACACAACAGAGAAAGTGCCTTATAAATTCTGTTTCTCGAGAATAAGTTCCATCCCTCAACATCCTACCCAGCGTATCATTATTTCTCTGGTGGAATTCCTCCAGAGCGAAAGTATTTTTTGTTTCAATTATGAACCTTTTTCTATCAATATAACCCATTGTAACGTCTGCTCAATGAGACAAGTAATTTACAAAGATGATAAACGAATCAACATGAGGGGAAACCGCAACTGGTAGTCGATGACCATCAAAGATTACACCGCTGTGCATTTCAATTGCACAATCGACGTCAGATTTAGCTTTCTGTTATTATTGACAATCTCTGGTCTACATATTTTCACCGCTTGCCATTCTTGATCGTGACTCAGTTCCATTCCGTTCTTACATGAAGGTTGAAACGGACGTCTGGCCTTCACACATGATCCTTAATGATCGAACTGCTTACGGTTTATATGCAAGCAAACTATGAAATTTCACGGTGCATACCAGCGAAAATCAATGTGCTCTTCAAACAATGTTTTCTCGTAAAAACAGCATCGTACTTTCTCTAATAAATAAATTATCTTGCACATTAATTTCCCGATAAAATCCATTTATAATGATCGACTTTGTTTTTTATCTTCAAGTGTAATTTCTCTATCGTCTTCTATCTTTCATCATCCAAAAATTACCAATAGGTAAAGAGATCTTAAGCTTTTAAGCTTAGCAAAAAGCAAGAATATTTTATTGTTGTAAAAATACCAAACCAACAGTAAAAATTCGGAAAATGATTAACCGGTAAGGGCCAATTCTCACTTGGGTCGTTTTCGTAACAGAAGACCGCAAAGGCCCTCATAGCAGAAAAATAATGAACAACGCTTTGCGTAACCAAGGCTTGACATAATTTCTTCCCTTTCGAAACATATTTTACGAATCCCTCTCCTTCCATCAGACCCTAGCCGACCGAAATATCCAGATTTTTAGACTTACCATTTGTATTTTTTTTTCACAACCAACTGAATTTTGGGTGGAAAAGTCACGGTCAATTTCCGACAGTTGTTCTTGCCTATAAATTCTATATGCAGATGTGTCGTAGAAAGTTGGCCCGAGGGTACCAATTTCATCCAAAAGGGGTGATTGATAAATAATCTAGTTAATTATGGGCTTCAAAGGCATTCTTACAGCTGTTGTCTTAGACTTATAATGGTCCCACTGCATTCTTTACGTCGATAATACGGTGATATTGAATATTCGATGTGAACGGTCTTCAATTTATTTCATAAAGACATTCCACGTCAACTGCGAAAAAGGTGAAGAAAAATTATGAAACTGTTTAATGTAGAGCTTAAACCTTTCCTTTGTAAACAGAAATCTATTTCAGGTTTATTCATTATTTTGCTGATTATTTACTATTATTTTAATTTTTATTAGTTATAACAGTTATGGCATCCCTTAGTCTTTAAATTTCACAAGAACTTCATACTCTTTATTCAGGTTGAAATTTATAGCACTACCCACATTTTTTTTCTATAATAATCAAATATAAAAAGTGAAAAATGTTATTCTAATTATTTCTAAATTCCTACTTGGCCGATGGTTTAATTACGAATCAGAACATTCTCCTCCCCCATCCAGTAAGCGGAAGTGGGTGTTCGGAAAGGAAGCGCCCTTAGTTCCATTCTCTACTCAGTGTACACTTCAGACATTCCTATCGATCTCGACACTGCCGCATGCAGACGATACCGCCATTGTTCAAGCAGACTCCTTTGATTTGGAAAAAGGTTCATGAATTGTCGAAATCATATTCAAAATTACAACTCCCAGAAAATAACCTTCAACCTCCGCGGCATTACCTCTCTTCCAGTATAGTAAAACGGACCTACTCTATTTATGGCCTTTAAACCATTGGCAAACTCTTTACCACGTATCCACCCTTTCTATCCACGATTACCTTCAAGTTCCATGTATACTCAAAACAGAAATAACAGATAAGAAGTGTCGGAACAACAGCTGGTGTTGAAGAAAGCGTCTTGGGCCCAATTTTTTTCAGTATACACTACAGACATTCCTTTCAATAGATAACGCACTCCTCCATTTTCAATACCGCCATCTTTCCAGCAAGTCCGGGCCAGTAGTGGCCAAATGAAACCTAGTGCCATATCCTCTGTTTGGAAGAAAAGTTCAAGAAATGGAGGATCAGATTCAACGAAACCTTATCTCAGCAGATAACCTTCACCCTCCGTTGTTTCACCCCTCCTTAAATCTACTACAATTCTGTTTCTTATTCCAGTTACCAATGCCATCCACTATTTGGGACTTTGTGTCGACAAAAGTCTTACTTGGAGCTCCTACCCTTTGACTTTGAATTTCACTAAAAAAGAAACGCCTCATCACTGCAGACATTCGTATCAATCCTAATCACATATAAGTTGATGCTTCCATTTTTTCTGCAAATTCAGGCTCATTGACATTCTGAAAGCTCCAGTACTATCGTTTAAACCGACTATCTCTTCCTGTTTGAAAGAATGGTAGAAAATAGAGTAACAGCTTCAACAAAATCAAATCCAAGAAATAACCTTCACTCTAAGCATCTTTCTTCCAATTTGGTAAAACAACGTTCCTTTCTCATCTCAGCAATGTCCATTATTTCGGACATACGTTGATACTATAACCGATGCTTACGGAATGAAACTGGGAGGTTAAAGAAGCGGTTCAACGTCTTAAGAACCTAAAATCCTGCGAACCATTGCCGAAGCTCCATAACTCGTATCCATAACCTAAAAAACATAAATATTCCATTTGTGCCATCTATACATATGACTCTATAAACTATATGACCTGCACTTTTATCCCCCGCTCTAGAGCAATACTTTTCATCCCGAACCCTTCCAGACAATGCTCCAAGACCTTACCGCCTAAAAAAACCAATGGCATCGCAAGTGAATAGAAATAAATGATGAATGGTGGAGTGAGTGCGGTGTTCAATCCTTTTTTAAAAGATAGTTCCTACTCACAGCAAGTTGTTTTGCAACGATCCGGATTTCGGGCTTTTAGCTCATCATCAGGTTGAAGGAGTTCTACAACCTGATGATGAGCTAACAGCCCGAAATCCGGATCGTTGCAAAACAACTTACTGTGGGTAGGAACTATATTTTTAAAAAGGGTCGCAAGTGAATAGTTCTATGATTGAACAGTAACTTATGAATTATTTCTTCAGTCTGACCAATTTTAAAAATTTGATAAAAATGAGGAAGATAAAGATGAAATATTCCAAATTTATCTGTAACTTATGACAAACAAACCGAATTTTTAATAATTTCTTTCTGTATAAATTATATATATTCTGCAATAAAAAGCATATCATTACATTTAAAAAACAAAACTTGTCTTGGCAGAACCATCGATATTCGGTGATAGGTTCTTCTTTTCTCACACTTTCGGCAAGAAAATTTGTCTTATTATTCATTTTGGGTGTTCCACAGATATTAGTTCTCGAATCAAACATTATAATGAATTTACGGATTATAATGAATTTTTTTTATGTTTCCAGGACCGCTGTCGATCGGGAGCCAAGGGGCATGAGAAGGGGTTGTCTTGGGGAGGAGAGGAGTCGCCATCCGTCCGGCAGCCGAAGAACAATTCATTTTCGAAGCAGGTAATTGAAAAGGGTCGCAATTACATAGAAAAATAACAGAATACGACCCGCACCGCAAACTCTACGGTTCTTAAAAGCTGTCTTTCTCGGATCGGGTTCATCGAATATCGGCTGAAATGGCCTTTTTGCCCATTAACCTACCGTTTAATATCCCGCCTCAACGGTCTTCTCTCATAGCTAGAAAGTATTCGTTATTCCATGCCGGATCTGCACTAAATACTTCGACTAAGGACTGATTTTCTATTTTAAAAAAAGGTAAAAAAAAAAGAAAAAAGCCAGGTTTATTTAGACAACTATTGACAGTCCTACAACTCATAAATTTTTAGCTGACTGTAGACCCAGTGTGCCATTAGGTCTGAAATACCATCCCTATCATAAATCATAGAAACGGGACTGCCTATACAATACTGAAATAAACGTGGCAGATAAGGCTTCAATAAATTATACTGCATGCACTTTAGTACATACTGCGCAAATCAATGTTTGGGTGAGACATTGTTGGGCGGTCAGCTAGATTTTGGAAATATTCCAGCAGTTCAGGATGTTTGATCCGGATTTCATTTCATTCCTACTGTTCAAGTATGAATTTTTTTTCAATTAATTCATCTTTTATGTAAGGTTTTGGTAGAAATGAAAAAGCAAATGCCACGAGCGGGATTCGAACTTATGAGGATGTTTTAGTCAGTATAATCTCTTTTAAGATTTTCTAAGGCACTAGCCCTGATGGAATGTATTTCAACTTTAAAAAACGAGGTGTTCTTCCCTAACGAATTTGAATGCTTTAAGATGAATGTTATATAGACCTTTCTATATAAGGTCTTGGTTGAGTTGAAAAAGTCACAAACGAAATTCGAACCCACGACCTTCTGCTCAATAATCCGCTGCTCTAAGCTCTTCACGATAGCTAAAGCGGTTAGAGCAGCGGCGTATTGAGCCGAAGATCGCGGGTTCGAATCCCGCTCGTGGCACTAACTGTTTCATTTCGACCGAAACCTTACATAAAAAGATTAATTAATTGAAGGAAGTAATTTGGTCAATAGCCCACTAAATATAATGAATGAAAAAAAATTAAAAAACTAGATCTAAGGATGGGACACCGAGAACCATCTTTGACTCCTTGACCCCACCTACAGCATGGTCATACAGTGAGGAAGGAGAAATAAGGAGTAATTATCAAAGAAAAGAAGTTTAATGCTTAAATATTTATTAATAGTTCATGATCCATGGTTGTTGATGCCTGATTTTACTGGGTAGCTTGACATCGTTGACATAGAGGATCAATCATCTAACAAGAGATCAATGTCAACATACTACCAAACACCGTCTCTTCTTATAATAGAAATAGAAAATATACTGATCCCAAAAACTTGACCGAGATGGATTTTCGATGAACAGAACTTTTTGAGAAATATAGGCGACCTTGGGTTTATTTCTCCATAGGGAGGTTTAGGAATTCCAGACCGGCTGGAAACTTTCATCGCTTTTCCCCATGAGAACGTGCTAATTGTATTGTACAATTAAGGTCCATTGTACGACGAGGAGGCTAATACGACCGCGTACAACAATCGAAGTGAACCAATCGACTCAGGTGGGAGACTGCCGTGAAATTTCACCTCCTACGAAAATAAGCCCGGGGCCGGTGCTCCATCCTGGAACGAACCGGATTTCGCGTTTTCAATTGACAAAAGATCCAAAAATGGCTTAGTTGAACACGTCGACAACGACAAAAAAATGTTGCAGCCCATAACCGGCGTGTCGGTTATTCGACTTGTATATATATCGTCAACAACTAGGACAATAGTGACTAAGCAAAAAAATTCAATTATTAAAAATGTAAAATGCAACCCAAAGAATTAGCGAAAATAGTTGACAAGAACTTCTACGGTCCAAAAAATATTATTTAGCTCGGATCAAAATCCTTCAAAAGACATTTCTTAACTATTTTAAATAGTCCCGTCGCAGAAGAAGAATTTTATGTAGTCTTGGTTAAAACGAAAAATTTAGTGCCGCGGGCGGTGGGATTCGAACCCACGACCTTCGGCTCGTGGTTTGAAAAATGGCAAAAAGAGGGAAAATTCGAAAGATTGTAGGTTGAGATGGGAAGTTGGTGTCCTTGTGGGTCGAAGTCACAATAGCTTAAGTGATTACAGCAGCGTATTTAGTCGAAGGTCGTGGGTTCGAATCCCGCTCCTAACACTAACTTTTTCATCTCAACCAAGACGTTACATAAAAAGAATAATTAATTGAAATAAATAAAATAAATTTTATTCTGGGGCTTTGAGGCCTCTTGCAAAACAAAAACTACAAAATTTGGCACAGTATGTTTCAAAATGAATATATAAATAAAGAAATATAATGGCATAAAAATAAGTGAACTATACTAAATTAAATAAGGGGAGGACGAAATTAAAAGTACTGAAACAGAAAATTAACCATCCTCAGTGTACTTAAAGGTGGAAACGGTTAAGGCTCTGCGAATTCAGTGAGGAAGGGGAATTCCGGAGGCTGTAGGTACCAGCAAATAAAGGCGGTAGATTTGCATGAGAGAGAGAAAAGAGAGAGAGAGAGAGAGAGAGAGAGAGAGAGAGAGAGAGAGAGAAACTTAATTTTGGGACTAGAGTCCCCTTAGTATAACAATAGGGCCACAAATTTTTTTCCAAATCTGGCACTTTAATTAATGAAGGTTTGACGTTAAAAGTGAAATGACTTGAAATATGAGGGGGTGAGTTCAGAAGGGCGGGAACGAGTGTGGCCAGTGTGTATAGAAGAATCTACTGTTCCCAAAGACTTGACAGAGATGGTTTTTCGATTAACGGAAGCTTTTGAAAAATATAGGCGACCTTGGGTTTATTTCTTCATAGGAAGGCGTTTAGGAATTCCAGACAGGCTGGAAACTTTCATCGCTTTTCCCCATGATAATAAAACCCTGGAATCTCATCCCCCCCCCCTAGACGAACATCTTTCATCCCGAACGTCCAAGGAGCCTAAAGTGCTTATTCGCGATTCCCTTCCTGGTTAAGAAAGTGTAAATACTAAGCACATTAGTAAAGATTTGTAAGAGGAATAAAACCTGTAATTAATTAAACCTCCCCACCGAAAAAAAGTGTCTACACTGTAGTTTCTGTGTAGACGTGTACATAATGACCACCCTAGTTAAGTAACTCATAACCAACGGTAGCGTTATTATTAATGTGAGTTATTACCGTTATTACCTTGTCTAAAAAAGTTAAACACACAGACAAAAACCTACACCTTTCTAATATTATAAAAGAAGTCATGTAGTCTGTACAATAATTGCATATCAATAGAAAAACATAGAATTAATTATGCATTATGAACGACCTTCAACGTTTTTTATAAATAGATTAGGCATGAGGCTTTAAATAAATTAAGTAAAATCCAATTGAATAATTAATTACACGCATATTGCACAAATTGTGGAATCTTGATGTCCTTGCTGTCCAAAATGAAAGACGAAATCTATATAAGACTGATACTGGGCGTAGTATGCAATTTAGTTTTACTTCGAATATTAAAAAAAGAAAAAAAGTCTTTATGTTAAATAATTACATGTTAGAAATCTTTTCGACTTGCTCTTAGCTACCGACAAGAAGCCAACGCCCGACCTCGCACTTTCAGAAATGGATTTGGTCCTTTTCATCTAGACGTCCTTGCTGGCCTTGCTCCTTCAGATAATGGAATGAGACCTTTGAGTTCGATCTTGCGAACGGTTTCAAGTGTAAACGACAATGTTTGTCAGATTCAATGTGTTTAGAAACCAATGCTGAAACAACCCGGAAAACGGATACCAAAATTCCCCGAATAAATGAACAGAGTATTGTAGATTTAAGGTAACTGGAGAACGATGGACTTCAACAACAAGGCCACGTCAACGAAGAAGCAGTCCACGTCGAACACCTAACCATACAACTCAAACCACACGTTGCATGTGTTGTAAATAATTAAGAAAAACAGTCATACAAAATCACATTATACCCCACTGAAGATGTGGCACAGCCTAAACGCTTTTGACATCGAAACACGTAATAGGCCGACCCAATAAGGTTTTTGATGGTTTCACATCAGGTGACTTGTGGAATCAACTTTTCCCAACGGGAGGGAGGACACTACGATGTTAGAAGCCGAGTAAACAGGAGCAGTTCTTGTGCTTGCTCTTCTGCAAAAAGAGAAACAAAAAAGGAGGAAACCCTGTAAAGAAAAGTTATAAAATTTGGAAACGGGCGCTTTCTCTCAAATACTGTTATGCTGCTTCCCTCCAAGCTTCGTTTCTTTTAATTTTATCAGTACACTCCTCACCCATCATGCCCTATATCACGGTACTAATACGAATATCTTCAATGAACTGCTCCGCATTGAAACTTTGAGCTTCTGCCTATCAACCCTAAAAGTCCTGAAGTTGCTTTTTCAGGCGACCACCACTTATTGCTCGAAACCTTCAAAGAATTGACCAACAGGCCTCTGGATGAACTTTCCGTCCTACGACTCATAAAGCTGACAACATGGATGTAATGCACCTTCTACCGTACCAACCCTAAATTACATTACACAGTTACATTTTCAGGATACCACCTCTTATTAGCTATGGCCCACTGTGAAAGTTACTCGAAATAGCCAAGAATTTGACCAACCTGACCCTAGATGCCCTTCCGAGGTACGAATCATAAATCTAACAATGGGGATGTAATGGAGTTTTTACCTTACCAAACCTGAAAGTCCTGAGCTTGCTTTTTCAGGCGACCTCTTATTAGTAATGTCCCACTGGGAAAGTTGCTCGAAATCGCCACGAAATTGACCAACTGGCCTCTGGATGACTGTCCGGCATACAACTCATAAACCTAAAACGTCGATGTAATGGAGCTTCTACCGTACAAACTCTAAAATCCCGACCTTGCTTCTCCAGTCTACCAGCTCGACCCGTTTGAAAAGAATTGCTGTTTAAAAAGGATCCGAGTATTGGAGGAATATCGCAAGGAAAGAGACTATTATGCGAATCGTAATGCGTGGGTACGGTTGTGTAATTTTATTAAAATGGAACCCCGTTTTATTCTGAGAGGATGTCGTCCACGAATCGCCAGTTGAAAATTATCTCTCGGAATAAAAAGGGGGCCCTTGTTTTGTCCGTAACGAGTGGTAATGCACTAAAATGCATTGCAAAACGGCTTTACACGCCTCTCGCATAACTTACGACTCATTCTATGCGTGGGATGGTCTTTCCTTCTTGATTGCTTGATACCATTTTCAAGTGAAAGGGCTAGCTTTTTGCTAAACAAATTTGGAAAAGTACTAATAAAACAAATATTTAAATCCAATTTATTAATAATTAAGTTTCCGTAAGTATCATAAATCTTTTGTGTATTTGATTATTTTTATCGCTAATACTCTGGGCTGATGTAATTGGAGACAATATTTCCTTTATTTTGATATACCTACAAGTTTCCTTTGTTTGCTAATTTCTGCCTTTATTATTTTTTAAAGTGTCTCCCTTGGAAGAATCAACTAAATACCAATTTGTTTGGTTTGATTACTCATTTCTACTTTTGTTGTGTTGTTTTTCAGCTTAAAACTGTGATGGAGCGATGTGAGAAAATGCCTCCTGGTGACAAGTTCTTGCCCAAAGTTGACAGAGAAGGAAAATCACTGGGTGACAGCGACTACGCCATACCATCACCGCCTGAAAGGGATCTTTCCCATCTTGACCACTTTGGGAAATACAATGAAACTCGACTCTCACAGGTAAATCATTACAATTTAACGTACGTACGAACAGGAAATATAAGTTAATTTTGAATTTTCTAGCTGAGCATTGATGGCGGATACGATGGGTCACAGACATCGCTGACAAGGGCAGAGTTAGAACAATACACTCGAGCGTATGAGGATGTAAGGCCACCGTCTCATAGCCAACAGCCATCGTATGCACAGAGTGAGGGCTACCACAGCTATGTGTCAAGTGCTGATTCGACCACAACAACCCCTTTTCTTGATAAGCTGCGGAGAGAGAACGTCGAGACCAGCGGAGGAGGGAGGGAATCTTCAGCCAGTTCCGGTTCTTCGAGTGAGACTCTCAAATGGCATGGTTCAATGTCTGATGTGTCTACAAGCCATACTCAGCACATTGCACACTCTGCAAGAGTACCAATGCCACAGAGGCACCACTCGGAGAGTGTACTCTATCTTGATCCTTGGCCACAGCAAAACAATATAAACAATCAGATGCGGAGACTCTTTCCCGTTACCACCTATGAACCTACTTCACCAAGGTATGTGATAAATAAATTTAAAGTAACTGAACAAACTGTAACTTGTTTATTTTAGGCAATTGATAGAATCGTATTCATCATCTCGGTCACCTCCAAAGCTCTCGGTTGCAGAGAGGATCTGCGAAATAGAGAGGCAGTCAAGGGGCCCAGAGGAGAAGAGGAAAGGCATGACTGATCACGCTTCACTAAAGGCTATTCAAAAGAAAGCACTCCTATCTTTCTATGAGAGGCATCATTCTGCTTGGAAGTCAGAACCACAATTGACCACACCAAGTATTCCACCTCAGCCACCACCAAGGCCTCAGCCTCTTCCATCAACCACAAGTAGGAGGTCCTCTTCAGCCTCTGACTATGCTGGAGCAATGAAAAGAGATGTAGGTTCTTTCTTCTAAAATGTTTTTTAATATAAATTTTTATTTAATATTCCTTGTGAAATTTGAACAAATTTCAAATGTATCTCTACATTTGTTCAAAATTCTCTTATTGCAGATACCACGAAGCCATCATGATCTCTCTAAAGTTGAGAGCAATGGGATGCGAGAATCTAAACATCAGCACAGGTAAATTAGAAAACTTTACAAAAGAAAAAAAAAATTAAATTATGATTATTTACAACCAATCTAATTAATAAATGCTTTTTCAGCTCAAGTTGCGGTTCCTTGTCAACAGCAGTACTTGGGCCGATGATTATAGGCCCGTCAATATCGGTCGATGACTGGGTGCCTGCGAGACCACCGAAGAAACCCCATTTAAGGGTCGCCTATCCACCTCCAAGACCCATGAGCCCTGACCTACCACCCCCATCACCACCACCAGTTACAGAGGAAGAAGTTTTCTACTCAGATGAACCTCTTCCACCACCACCTGTTGAAGAACTCCTACATCCTTTGACTGTATATAATGATAAGGGAAAGTATGACAGGGCAATGAATGCTTCAATCAGTCTTGATAATCTGACCAGATCGGAATCGAAGCCAACCCTAGTCCATTCCAAGTCTCAGGAAAACCCCAGGCATGATGTATATTATGAAAACGGTAGTGAGCTAAAAAGGCACAACTCACATGACCATTCAAAGAAAAATGGTTTTAATTCATATATGGATAAATTTAATGAAAAATATGTCGAGAGCAGGATAGAAACGTTACACTCCTACAATGAACCATTAGAGATTTGGGAAAAAAAGAACTATATGGACATGAGAAGATACAGCTCTGAAAAGAAACTTCCTTCTGAAAGCCATTACAGAGGGGGTTTGATGTCTCCACCATTACCGAATAAGGGTAAAAGACCTCATGCAAATAGTGAACAGCCAAGATCATTAGACAGCAACTTGACCATACTAGAGAGCAATAATGAAGTGAACAAGCCAGGCCCACAAACACCGATTGGGAAAAAGTTCCCATCAAGTGCAGAAAAAATAACCTACAAGAACATCAGGGAGCATTTCATTCGTGCGAATCTCCACAACGAACCAATTACGAATTCACCAGAGAGGCAATCGCTGAGGATCACAACAGCTTCACAAAAGCTGCTAGTCAACGGGAAGATAGCCAATGCAGTTCACAACGGCAAAATATCCCCACCGTCGAGAAAGGCTAACCTCGTCCGCACACCGAGTGATGTTGTAAGAAGGGTGTCCTACTCGATTGGCATTCACCATGCAGAACCGATTGGAAAACAACACTCTGAACTATTAAGCAAAGATCATACGCATTTGTCCAAACCTGTACCGCTCGAACCGAATTTACCTGAAAAAACAAGCCCAGAGAAACCCGCATCAGAACCACAAGCAAAACCATCAGAGCTCTTCGCAAAGTCACCACCATCTCTTCCTCCACATTGTCCTCCTACAACCCTTCAACTGTAAGTACAGTTTATTATTCGTTTGTGTAAACATTAATTATTTTTTATAAAGGGGTTATTTTAAATGTTATAAAGCATTTTGTATTTATATTAATATACACATATAAATGCCAAGTTTATAGTGTATAAGATAAGAAAATTTTTCTGTTTGTACGATTTCAATCTACATTTTCATTGACTTTCACTTTGCACTATACATATTTACCTCTTTTGTGACAAGAGTGGTAATCACATTAGTTATGTTCCTTAAATTATTCAAGGTCCCAGTTATAGACTTAACTTAAAAGCAATTCATTTTTTTTCTATTATCTTTTATTTATTTATATTTTTTTTAAATTTTATTATCTTAATTCATATTCAACCGTATTGATTTGTATTCAGGAATTCGCTGTTGCAATTTTTGAAGGCGCTGGAATAATTGCAGAGATTAACACCCATTGTGAAACTGAGCCTTGCCCACTCTTTGTTGCTCCATTATAAAACAGCTTTGTGTGACAGGCGATCAACGTGTTTTAATTAGCTGGTTTCTTTAACGCACATTTATGCGATTAAAATTCTTGTTGGCACAATTTAGAACGGGCTTCTTGGGCAACTCGGTGAACTTGAATTCTCATAATTGGAAAACAAATATTTTTCATGGGCTTGATTTCTTTTGATTAAAATAAATTGAAACACTTGCTTACATACATAACTGTACTTTTCATATTTTATGTGGAATAAATTATTCTTCCATATTAAACTTTGAAATAAAATTCTGGCACAATGCGAAACCTACTCTCTTTTAGTTTGAGGATGTCTTATTTAATGTTATTGGGCAACATATACTATAAAACGCATTAGCTGTTTTAATGTTGCAAGAAAAAAATCCGAGGATCATAAAAATAAAATAAAAATGATAAAAAAATAATAAAAACAACTCATAAAAAAGACAATTAAAAATTTTTGATTTTTTTTCTCTTTTTTTTTGGGGCGTTTTTCTCGAAAACTACGTTTTTACGAGCTTCTTATTCCTTCTTATGCGCCACTTACTAAACATTACAGTAAACAAAGTTTCTTGATCAGATGTATTAACTTCATTGTGTACTGAATTTACTCGACTCATGTAATGCTTATAGGAGGCTTGGGCATCCATTTTTTGCATGGACATATGACTATGTCCTTTTTTGAATGTCAGTTCTGTAGCGGCTTTCCACTGGAAATATTAAGACATTAACAACTGGAGAGATCCAAATTGCATTTTAAACAGTTGGATAAGATTTTAATTTGTTTCTTTGTATTAAACAATCATTGTGGTTATTTGCCACTGTTCAAAAATAATGACTCCAGACAGCTTGTAAATTTCAATAGCCGGAAAGAAAATGTCAGGTTTTGGGCCATAACTTATACACTCTCGCCGTGAGTCGACCAGAAAAAATGATAAAAACGGGAAAGTAGAACGTTTTCCATTTCAGATGAGAATTAACGAGGGGAACTATTCGGGAAAACTATAGTCGCCTACCGACACGCGATTTTTACACAATAATAACTAAATAACTTGACGAAAGAACAAGCGAACTTATTATGAAAAACAACACTAAACAACGTATTTGTAAAATGGGATAAATATTCCGCAAATATATTATTTATAAATAAAAATTACTATAACAATTACAGTGTACAATACCTCATTACTTAAACCGTGAAATTAATAGACATCATTTGAAGATGGTGAGATGCAGTCTTGTGTGAGGTTAGTTTAGAAAAACATTTTCTTTATTGTGCCACCGTTTCGACTTTTATTAAGATCATCTTCAGGGCCTGGGATTTACAAACATTGTTTGGATTATACAAGTACGTGCATGTTTGTAAATCCCAGGCGCTGAAGATGATCTAAATATAGCTCGAAACATTGGCACAATAAAGAAAATGTTTTTCTAAACATACATTACACATGACCGCATCTCACCATCCCCAAATAATCATTAATTAACGGTCACCAAACACTACACATTAATAGACACAGTTGATTTTATTGATTTATTGAAATATTTCGCATATCTCATTGGGAAATTCAATTCCTACTCGTTTACTTGTTTATGCTAAAATTCCAAATGCCTTCCTAGTCCGGTTTTACCCGCATTAGGTCAACAGGCGTCTTGCGTCTTCTTGCGTCGACGACCGGTTGGATTTATAAATGATCGAAAATTACACAATAAAAACCCTGTTAGCAAAATTAAAAACCCAACGCGTCTTGTGAATTTATCCAGGTTCGTATACGTTATGCTTGGCAATTCAAGGAAAACAGATCAAGTTAAGAAAGGATTGATATATTTGATAGCTTCCCCGCCGCTTTTTGAAATGCGGACTGTCGGACGTTATCATTAAAAACGATATTGTCGTGTCTAATAGGTCGTTCAACCGTAAATTGTGCAATAGCAATAAATAAATACAGCTCTTATGACGACACTCCTTTCAGGCAGGATTACACGGTCAGATCAATCGCACAAGCTGGTCATTGGTAATTATGAATAATTCAAGTCACTAAGAGTGTTCTTGTTTAATACCATAACTAGTTGTTCATATTTGTCATTCTTGTGAATTATTAAGAATAGTTTGAAAGTTCAGATGAAGTGGATACATAGATTCTTTCCATCAAATTCTTTTTAATTTGAAGTTAACCATTTTTTCTAACGAATTAACCCTTTTTTAATTTAAAATCAACACTTTTTAATTTCAAATTAATCCTTTTTACTTAGAATTAACCCTTATTTTTTAACATACAAAACACTAGGGAATGTTACGAAATGTAAGCACGTAAAATAAAAGTCCTGCATTTGAAACAAATGTGCTCTTAGAAGGCCAATTGTAAATTAATTAGAATTAAAATTAAAAATTATATAAAATTAAATTTAAAAAATACTTTTTTTAAATTTGAGATTTTTTGAAATACGAAATCGTTGGGCTGTTAAAAAACACAATTTCTCACATATCTCAAATTAACTTAAGAATCCTTCCTTTTTTATATGATATTTTGTATAAATTTTAATTGTAATCCTTATTGAATTTCGTATGGTATTTAAGAGCTTATTGTTTGTTTTATGTTTAAGAAAAATTCCAGTGTACTTAAAAAATTAATATAAATGAATTTGGCTCTTAGAAGACTACATGAAATTTAATTAATAATTAATTTAATTAACTAATCCACTTGCTTTTGGATCTCTTTATATATATATTTCTTCTGTAAAGACGATCCGCCGGCATATGCTCAAGGGAAGTCGCGGATGGTGGAGGAAACAAAATTAAAATTAAAAATTATATACAATTAAATATAAAAATGTATGTTGAAATTAAAAAAAATAATAATAATCGGATTCATAAAATTCATATGAACATTAGTTTCTTAACAATTTTATAAATAGAAGATAAAAATAATAGATTTATTTTTTGAGTTGAGAAATATTCGAAATTGTTGCTTTTAAGAACAGAATTTCATGAAGAAATTATTTGTATTTTTTTAATCTCAAAGTGAAAAAATACATTTGTTTTTATATTTACTTTTCAGTTTAATTGTAATTAATTTTAATATATTCTTCGAAAAGCCTAATTATTCTATATCAAAAAATTCTCAAATGTACAGGAATTTTATTTCTCGTTGTTATTACCTTCCATCTCCTAAGGTGCTTTAAATCTCTTCCATCTGCTAATGCTTTAAAGAAAAGGTTAAATTGAAATTAAAAAGGTTTAATTTGAAAATTATAAGGGTTATTTTAATTTTAAAAATAGTTTTTAATGATTATTTGGAGATCGTGAGATGCGTTCTGGTGTGACGTAGGTTTTAGAAAAAAAAATTTTAGCGTGCCAACGTTTCGATGTTCATTGAGAAAAAGTGAATTTATACAACGCTACAAATTTAAAACTCAAAGTATTTGTACCCAGAAAACAAGAACTTTGAGTGAGTACAAATACTTTGATTGAGTCAAAAATTTCTAGCATTGTATAACTTCACTTTTTTGACATCCTACATGTATTTGTATAATTTGAACAATGTTTATAAATCCCAGGCCCTGAAGATGATCTCAATGAAGATCGAAACGTTGGCATGATAAAGAAAATGCTTTTCTAAAACCTACATCACACCAGACCGCATCCCACGATCTCCAAATAATCATTAGTTTTTAAGTTAAAAAAGTTATGTTGAAATTACAAGAGGTTTGAAGTTAAAAAGGGTTGATTTGATGTTAAAAAGGTTTAATTTCAAACTACAAGAAGTTAATTTGAAGTTAAAAAGGGCTTAATTGAAATTAAAAAGCTATAATGTGGTATTCAAAAGTGTTAATTTAAATTAAAAAAGGATTAATTTGACAGAATACGCTTTAACAATAATAGGCAGTTTGAAGTTGTGGCTTGGGTTGAAAATACTAGCCAAATTTTTTTGCTGGTTTTAAAAACTTTTTTTCGGTCGAACGCGGAACAAAATTGTGTAGGACGTTGTGTCGTATTTCATAATAAACCCTTCTATACAAAGTGCACGGAATTTTCTTCTTCCTAGCCCACGCTAGGATCTCATTCGGCTTTCCCCGTGATTGCTTTATAACTGTATTGTTATAGGGGATCCACTTTTCTAAGATACTGACAGTTATCTGGGCGATACGAAAGCAAATCACTCGCATAAATACGGTATTTCCAGGGAAATTACACATGCCTAAGATTCGGTGAATCTCTTCCTGAGAGTCGTCCAATGAAAATCCTAAAGAAAAAACCGCCTGTAGGCACACCCACTACAAATATATTCTTGTTTTTCCTTTCGCCAAAGTAAAAACATAGTTAAGAAGAAAAACCAAAAATAGAAACCGTGTAACATTGCAGGTTAAATGTCCATGAACAAAAACAATAAGCAGTATAAAAAAGTAGGAGTCTGTTGAATTTTATTGGTCTCGTCAGACTAGGAAGAAAAAAATTATGAAGATATATTTACATAAGTAAGATGCAACTAGAGCTAACTTTGCGGTTTTCACGACTTA